AACTATTCGTAACCCACGTAAGTCGCAACGTATAAACATGTTATAATTTTCATATGTATTTTCAAATAATGTAGATCAGTTTACTAACATATTCAAATATATGGATATTTCTTTCCTTGGGACTTATTCACGAGGTATTCCATTAAAATATAATTGATGAATGAACAATACAATATTACTTGTTGCTACTTCGGTCAAGCCTCGGGCAACCGTTTCAGGTTGTCAAGACCAACCCTTGTTCAAAAAGTATGCAAACAAATTGAACAAGTGTATGATTTAAATAGATAAATTAATGAATATATATATATATATATATATATATATATATATATATATATATATATATATATGTATAAACGATGCGTTATTTAAGTTTAATGAAATTCCATCTGTAAAAAGAACTTTTTTAGGAACCTATAAGACGTGATAAAGAGCTTTATAATTAATTACAATTTATGAAATAATTTTCAAATTTGTTCACAACAAAATGAATTACCTGACCCAAGTTTTGAATATTTTTCTAGGTAGGTGCGGTTCAAATTGTTAAAACATCTACTCCCAGTCCTAACAAATCACATCATGATAATTGCAGAACAAGATGATAAATTGCCTCGAAATCTTCCATTCGTATTTTCCAGCTACCCCGAACACATTTTTAGAGTATTTTAGAGAAACTTTGCATAACAGTGTGCAGATGGAAAATGGATAAAACGAAGACGTCCCAGAGCGGAGATAGGCTCTGTTCACGAAAAAAAAGGTACGATTTTATCTATTTATTAGGTCTCCCTTTCAAAGCTTTCTGGGCTTTTCAGAATAGCACGTTATAAGCTTGAATGACCCTGTCTGTTGGTTCCTCGTTTCCTCTTTGTCGCCCGCACTTGACGAAGATGAGCCATGCACAGAGGCGGCCGGTAGATCGAGACCTCGGGAAAATAAGGTATTTATATTCATGTTGTTTTGTTTAAAAAAATCACTTGTATCCGGCAAAGCTTTATTTGATTTAACGATCAGCCCACTATCTGGTAATGTAATGTAATGTAATGTAATGATATAAGGTTTGAAAGTTTCAAGCAAAATCAACTTAATAATATTATGTGGCACTAAAAATTCAGCATCGGTGACAACGGTGAAGTTCTGCAGCCACTTTAACCCTATTTTAACTGGGCTATTTCAGACCAGGTTTTTACTGGGGGGGGGGGGGGGGTCAATTTGACCCCCCCCCCCCTAAGATCTCGGCCGTTTCACCGCCGATCGCCGCGAAAATTTGCATGCATGTCAAGTGAAGTGTATAGAATACTATGGTAATTTCAAATTTTTGAAAAATTCACTCATTTGCATATTTATGGTAATTTATGCAAATAAGGTCATAAAATTCACATTTCAGCCCATAAATCATAGATTATTCATATTTAAGTATTCTTTTTCACTACATATATTTATTAGACCATTTGGAATAATAATACAACATAAAAAATTGGAAGAGCCAGGTTATTCCTTATGTTATCTCTTGTTTTTATAATTTCTTATGTATTTCATTGTTTTTTTAACTTTTGTATTTTATTGTTTTTGTTGTTTTATTTCATTTATTACTACAATTCAACTATTTTGACCCCAAAACAAACATCTAAACTTTAAACAAGACTGAATAACCAATGTTTTATCTATTTTTAGGAAAAATGACTTTTACATATGTTTTGTACACAAATCACGAATATGAGCGATTTTCGGGCTGACATGCAAAGACAAAAGGTCACGCGACCTTGTAACCGTAGGTCCGATTTTCAAAAAAATTGTTTTAAAAGATGCGTAAGACTCGAAAGTAAAAAGTCAGGAGAGGAAAATTTTATACCTGCCGCGGTTTCGGAGTAGTCGTGAAATTTCTACAGGGGGGGGGGGGGGGTCAAATTGACCCCCCCCCCCAGTTAACGTAGGGTTAAAAAAGATAATGAGAATGATAATTTTTTTTTCTTTACGGGGGGGGGGGGGCACTGGTCATTACCTCTATCTATCCCTTAATTCTTCCCCTTCCCACCCCTACATATGCTCACTATTCCTCCTCTTCATCTTGACCCTTCCTTCTCCCCCCCCCCCCCCCTCTTTTCTCTTTCCTCTCTCTATATATCTTTATCCCAACCCTCTCCTTCACCTCCAACTTTCTCCCCCCCCCCTCTCGATCTCTCTCGTCTACCCTCAATCATTACTGTGTACTTAATACCCCCTTCTTATTTTCATCCTCCGCCCCTCCTGCGATGGGCATATCAGTCCGCGGATCCAAGATTTGTTGGAAAAAGAGGGGGCACAGCATTCCTTAAATCTGCTGATTAATTACCTCCAAATTATTGGGAAAGAGCACAATTTCGAAGTCACTTGGGTTTCAAAACAGGGAAGGGGAGGGGGCATGGACCAGTTCGCTCTGCCCCTCCCCTAAATCCACCACTGGTAATGATAGTAAGATTTATTTTTCCTCAACCAATTCGAGCACATTATTCAATTTGTTAGTATATAATGAGCTTCAACCATGTGTTGATGATAAAATCTGAAAAAGGGAAGACAAAAATAACCCAGATCGCAGCATGATATTAACTAGGTATAGTTTCGGCGTCTGTCGCGCTGTTCGCATGGCCAAATTAAAGCACAGTGAAAAGTCAGAGGTAACGTAAATACAATGTACTGCAACTACTTTCTCCCTTTTCTCTAGTCTGTCTGCATTTGCTCAAGAAAATGTTAAGAAAAGTTCTTAGTCCACTGCTTTGACTGTTCTCAATTTACTAGCGACGTGCCCGTCCGCCTCACAAATTAGTCGTATAATATTATTATGTGTACAAGAATTTCCCATCCATATTAAACAAAATATCAGAAATGGCTAGTACCTCTTCAAGAATTAAGAATAGAAAAGTGCTAGAACAGCTTCAATTCTTGGAGTAAGGGAAACATAATATTGGCAATGCGAACTTGTTCGTTCAGGGTCAGGTTGTAAGTTCAAGATTCAATACGCCCGAGGGCATAATAAGAGGAGTTTCATGTGAGTTTGCAGAAATAGAACCCCTAAGCACAACGGTGTATATTACAGAGATTATTAGAGTATAAAGTGATACGCACAACCCACGTTTTGTTGCAACTTTTATTTTATATGCGACAGAGGCTCTATGAGAGCATGATGCTGTAAGTATAAGTACAGGCATAATGAGTAATACGTTCCTCATTGTACATGCCGAACTTTCTCACGACCAGTGTAATTCTGATATTCAACATCAACTTCTTCATCATCACCATCATTGTCATGATCAACATCATCCTTATCATCATCGTCATCGCCCACGTCACCAACATCAAAATCAATATCGTCACAATCATTATCGTCATTCTCAATCATCGTCATCATTATCATCACCATTACAGCAATCATCATTATTATCATCATCATTATCATCACTATGATCAACATCATCCTTATCATCATCATCATCGTCATCGTCACCAACATCAAAATCAAAATCGTCACCATCATTATCGTCATCCTCAATCATCGTCATCATTATCATCACCATCACAGCAATCATCAGTAATATCCTCATCATTATAATCACTACAGGCCTACTCACAAACTTCTTAAAGGTACTATGTCCCATTTGCAGGCCAAAAAAATGAAAAAGTTAAATTCCAACTGCATTTGAAAGATAATACTTATTTAGAACTTCCCTAAAAAAGATGGGGCTTGAAAATGTCTTAAAGTGGGAAATAATGACTATTAGTTGTCAAATCGACTTTAGGGCTATAGAGCCCAAAATTAATAGTCTTGATTTCAGACAATTGTACCGAATGGTCATACGTTTTATGCTGCGCAAAGATTCAATCAGTTTAATCTTGGCCATCACAAGAAGTGGGTTATTGATGTAGACAAATGCTCATGTACCCTTTACAACTCTTTTCATGTATGTTATTACCAAAGAAGAAAAAAAGCCAGTCAGTCACTCAATAGTGTCTGACAGTGAAGTCTAGCAAGTAAACGGGTTTCCTTGCATAATTTGAATAAGAGGACACTGCTAACGTTTAAATTTCACAGATAGGACATACATGACATATTCATAATTCCTGCAAAATTTCTACAGAATTTGAGGTTGGCTGCAAAAGGGACATAGTACCTTTAATCATCGTCATAAATCAACCATCATCAACATTCATCATCATCGTCACAACCACCCTCACCATCACCAGCAGCATAATCATCATGAACGTCGTCACCATCATCATCCCCATAATCGTTATCAAAATCTTAGAGGTATTAATTTTACGCTACGTATTAACGGCATAATAAACACGTCGTAACAGTGGCTAATTCAGGATGAGTGCGATCGCAAAGATTTTCGAAAAATCAACTGACTTGGTTATTTTAATATTCTATTATATTGCCATCATTTTATACGATATGTATTTCTGTTAATTCATACATATCTATATCTTTAGATTAATCATGTAATATATTGTATAAGAGAGTGTTGTAAAGCGCATAGAGAATGATTATGCGCTATATAAAAATGACTTTATTATAATATTATTATAGGAATCGGATTATGTACATGTCTTTGTGATTTTAACACATTTTAAGATGTGACACACAAGACTACTGAAATATTAAGTTGGTTTTTAAAGGTTTTGGGGATCGTATTGATGGTGAATTTGTGGATGCCTACCTATTTTGATATAAGCATATAAGGCCTTTACAAGATATACTTATTACTTTTATCTCTAACTTATATTAAAAAATAAATTCAAAATTTTAGCTGAGAATGGAATACGTGTAAATGAAAAATTATTTTTTTCATTTGTTTTGTTGTTGACAAAAGCGTGTCAACATTTTGGAAGAAATACAAATACCAAAACAACATCAAAACTTGTATCAACTTCTCGCAAACTACTGTACATAACTGTTCCCCAAAGTTAGTACGTGTGCGCGCACACTTTGATCACGTCCGCTCGTCCGTTCGCTCAGCTGAGAACCACAGGTCATTCCATGTTTCAGGCAAAGGTTCATCATCGAGACGGAAAAGAATCATTGCACTCCCCAGTTAAGTTCGGGAAAGGTCACTAGCAGCGGGGGCTAATTCCGAACGTGCTTCTCAAATAAATACGTACGGAGACAACACAGTAGTGCTTGTGGGAGGCTTGCTCGTGCCATAAGTTGTGTGATCACGGTAATACTCATTCTCCAGCTCATTCAGGAGTGAAGAATGATGTAAAAGAGCGAGCAAAAAAATGGGATACCTTTTTACATCTTTCATCTCATAGTGTGTCAATCATTGAGGAATTTAGGTCAAGTCTTCAATGACTGGTAAGTTTTTCTTCTATTCTTTCTTCTTTTACTGTTATAGAGGGTCTATTTGTTTTTTTCCACCTACATCATGGGATGTAATCAAGCAAAGTTTTCAGGAAGTTTACAATGGACATGAGTCTCCGCATAATAATAGCAGCTGAATTGGGTAACAGATAAAGGGGTACTCCTGTTATAGTGTAGGACATACATTATAAGCACTTCTTTTTATCTCCGAAAATTGTTCCCATATCATCGGGCACTCCTGTTAAATTGGATAAATTTACTACATATCATATGTTAAAATGTTTCATTATCACACTGCCTTGTCGGAATTGGAATATTTGAAGAGTTTATACAGCGGATATACTCAATACTGTACTGTGATTTTGGCTGTTCTTTTGTTTTCCTCTCACCATTATTTATGGTCGTGAACATGTGAATAGTATCGGTGAATTATTAATTATGTGACAATCGGCTATTTCCGGTTTCCTGCCCAGTCATATCAAACATAATAGTTGCTTGTAATTTAAAGTTTCCTAAATAGCGGTCTGTTTTTACCAGGCCAAGGCCTGTAATGGAAACTTTACTGTAGCTGTAGGCCTATCATATCCAAGGATTTAGTAATACATCATACATACATGAAGCTGAAGCCCGATCATAACATTCAGCTCTATCGTCAAGTTTCGTGTAGCATGCCTATGTCCTATAGTAAACAGCCAGGCTCTCAAACAGGGACTATCATATTCAAATCTCTTTCGAAGAATATCTCTCCTTTTTAGAATTGCGATTTTATCTAGGGACAGGCGAAGGCTTTACACTTTTAAAGCCCCCCCCCCCTCCCCCCGTCTAAATTGTTGGGAGCCCCAAATTCACCAAAAATTTGAAACAAATAGTATAGTTTAACAGACCTTCACTACTACTACTACTTTAATACAACATACTCACAACTTCACAAGAAAAACAATGGCATTTATTGTGTGACAGTGATACCCCCCCCCCCCCCCTCTATGTTTTTTTTAATTTTTACTATAATCTTTTCATTTGATATCGTACGTTCTCGTCAATGACAGTCGTATATAGTAGAAAGAAAAGAAAACAGAAGCGACGAGTAAAGGCTAGGTGTTGGCTTTCATGTTTCGTTTCTAAACTCGAGGGTGTTATATTGTCCCACCGGACTGGGCATGAATGGAGCTTGGAGACAATTTCTTTCAAACGTGTCGCAGGCAAGGAGCACCGACATGGCCATTGACTTGAAGTTAAACGCTGTACATACCCATTTAGATGTTCATATAGCCAGACATAGTCAGCTCAACGTGGAACATACTTGGAACCAGGCCTCTCGCCAAGAAATTAAAAACGCGTGGCGCGACCCAAGGGAAAATTTGACCCCCCCCCCCCCAAAAAAAAAAAAAAAAAAAAAGTAAAAATTTGATTTTTTTTTTTTTTTTTTTTTTTTTTTTTAATTTAAATTTATTTTTTTACAAGTATTACAAGTAATTTGATGAATTTTTAATAGTCCATACCTGCCAACCCTTTCGAATAATTCAGAATATTCTGTTTTTGGGGGATTTCTAGGACCAGAAAATCCGAAATTTTCAGATTTTTCACCAAAAAAAAAAAAAAAAAAAAAATGATTTTTTTTTTTTTTTTTTTTTTTTTTTTTAAAGAACGCGTGGCGCTAGGTCGGGCCCGTCAGGAACGCGTGGCGCACGCGCCACGCGTTATCTGTGTACGCGAGGGCCATGCTTGGAACATGATATAATTATACGACATGCCATGTTCCTGAAAACGAACAGTCAAGTAGTTCGAGTCGTGTATCCCCCTCCCTTCTCTCTTTCCCTCCCCTCCCTTCTCTCTTTCTCTCCCCTCCCCTTCTCTCTTTCTCACCCCTTCTCTCTCTAGATTTGATTACTACTAGTGCTTTTCAGGACTTCACCCCCTCAACACCCTACAACTTATCCTCAGTAGGACGAAACACGAAAGAACCTTTCTCCATATTCCTGATTCATCTCTATATACTCATCTATTCCATTTCAAACCCGACCATAAACCTCAAATAATACTACATGACTACATGTACATGCTATTACGGGGTTACTATAGGAAAGTATCGTGCAAGCAGCCAAAACAAAACTTGGCATATTGGCATCATTAAGTGCCGGAAGGAAGCCTGAATATAGTGCGTCTTCCTTGCAAGTCCCATGCGTTCGGCACTTGTTCATAAACTATGTTGGGAAGTCCAAGATAATAATTAGGTCATTTGCTGTCCCATACGTTATAGAATAATAAATAGTAAACATAACTTAACGTAAACGTATCTGTTGTTTTCCTTGTCATTTGGGCTGATTAAAGGTTCGACAGGGTTGTGAACTGAACTTGATGGAATATTCATATCAAAACGGATGGTGATGTCTGCACTCTGTAACTTGTGAGACAAAATACCTTGCACTTGGTGCCACTTGCCCATGCATACACAACCAGACGATTCAGAATTGTTGATATGACTGTTTTATTAACCCTCCCTGCTGTAGATGTATAGCTTATGCTATTATTGTATGTTCTTCACCTGAAAAGGAAAGAGGCCTTCCAAAAATGTTGTTTACTTAGAATAATAAACAGTTAGGTAACATTAGCATGAGACTCGCAAGAATTATTCTCTTTAGTGACTTAGTCTATATATACATAGCCCTATATTTAATTTCATATAAAATATATATAAAAAAATGGAAAATATGTTAATTCAAAAACGCTAGATAGAATACACAAGATTGGATTGAACTTCAGAAAGTTCAATCCATGCCTCTCGTGTATTCCACCTATATAGCGTTTTTGAATTATTGTATATTTTCTACTATATTCACTCTGCATCTCTTCGGACATATTTCTCTGAACATTTTCAATATATATATTTCAAGGCCAGTCTGTGTGATGATTTGTAAGACAAGTCAACCCTCTATCTCTCTTTTTTCCCCTTCGTTCTTGATGCCTCACACTTCGTGTTCAATAAAACCCTTTGATAATAGACCCAGCTACCAAACAATTGTGTTGGGTTGTTTAAAACGTAAACGAGCATTGTTGTTTTACAAAACTCTGATGAATGGACACATTGTACCAACCAGACACCAAAAGGGCGCTGGAGGTAGGGATATTACCGAAGGGTTCTCTACTCCAATAGAGCATTCCCATTCGAAGTATCATACAATACGTAGGAGTGTTTCTTTTGAAGAATAGGGGTGTCATTCCTTTACAACATTTTTTGTCGGCGAATCCATAGTTCTTGTCAGAAAACTCGTGTATTTTTAGGAGGTTGTCGGCAAAATCAAAAAGTCTTTAAGCAGTTTTGAATCCAGAATATCATACTACGCAGTCCTAGCAATTTTGGTGAGGCTAGTATTACGAATATGGACTATTCGAATGAAATCTGACGAAAAAAGATGGATTTAAAGTGTTAATTGTCTAACTTGAATGACATTAAAGACTAATTCTTTGACATTATTTTGTGCGATCCCAGATAATTTATATGGGACGAATTGAAGTGCACAACTTATATCGATTTGAATGAAAACGGTGTTAAAATGGACGTGAAATCTTATACTATCAAAGTACAGTTCTGCTGATGATAACGTTTATGTGAGATAATTGAGATTCATGTTTTGTAACCCTATATACTTCCAATTTTCAAATATATCATGTAATTTGATACTGGCCTGTACGCATTTACTATCAAATACAGTTAACTTCATGTAATAACTAATAACGGATGTGCGATACACAAAACTGTCTATAAGTCTCTGCTACTACCCCCGCCCAACTCCCTGCCCATCGTCTCCAAGTTATTTTGAGTGAGGCTCCTGCGTTATGCATGTAATTATTATAGTTTATAATCTTCCACGGGTACAAAGCGCTTGAGATGCCTTCAATGAGTCAATGATAAGAGTTTGACTATACAAGTTACCAAGCAGTGACAGTATGTGTTTTAATAATAAAGGCATATGATTTGAGAACAGATATCTTCAAACTCTGTTTGAATGTTTCTACTAGGTAACTTGGTGATGATTTAAGTTGAGGAGGGCGCCTGTTCCAGAGTTTGGAAGTAGTAGAGGAGAGAGCTGCATCGCTAGCTATAGTTTGTTATCAACTTATAGTATACATGCCTCCACACTGTGATAAGAAATGCAAAGCCAGATGAGCTACCAACTTTGCAGATCTATACTGCATGCAACGGCTCCGTAATACAGTAGAGTCTGTACTTAGTCTCGGTGCGAGCATGGAGTTACTAGGCTAGTAACTCCATGGTGCAAGCATGTCTTCTATGATAGCAATATCATCCAGTCATATCCGACAAGGTTTATTTTGACTCTGAGGAGACCTCGCTCGGTTGTCGAGCCAGTTTCCGCCCCTCATCCTGCCTTAGGGGGCAACCTCAATTATATTAATAATTAATATGCGTTCATTTGAATTTTGTAGTTCAGTGTTGTTATGATGATTAAAAGAATAGCTTATTCCTTATCCGTTTCTCTTGGAAATAGATGTAAGAATTTGAGTTTAGGAGTCGAAGTGATCATAATTGTCGGACCAGTTTTTAGGTCCACCCCAAATAATAGTGCGTCTTCATTTGAATTTTGTTCGGCTCTTGTTATGATGATTAAAATAATTTGTTATTCCTTACTCGTTTCTCTTGGGGGCGTAAGGCTGGAATTATCGGACCTCATTTCATTTTGTTCGGTTTTTGTTGTTCTTTATCCGTTTCATTATCCGGGATGGGTGTAAGACTGAGTGGACCTGATGGTTTATGGGTCGAAGTGACCATGGTTGTCGGACCGGTTTGTAGGTCAACCCAAAATATCAAGGTGTTCAATATACAAGTAACATTTCTCTTTCTTTATGCATTTATATATCTCTGTCCCGCGATCCTTCTCTCTCTCTCTCTCTCTCTCTCTCTCTCTCTACCCACTCTACCTGACCCTTAGTGATAGTACGTGTAGTTTAAATGAAGGACGGCAAGTGAATTTTTTTAT